ACTTGATTGTTTTATCAAATAAGAAGATGCAAACTAATGGCTATTGATAGTTTTTTAACAAAAAAATAGATTTCGAAAAATTTGTACAATACATTTAGTTAAACATTTACCCCGGATTGCCCCGCCTTGGCCGGGGCCGTATGGGTTGCAAAGTTCACAAACAAGCAACCAAATATCAGGCCCAAGTCATCCAGGTTATAAATGTGTGTTATTATATGCGATTGTTTTCAACTGTTGATATATCTATTTGCTGGCGGGGAAAGCACTCAATTTATTGCACACTTTGTGCATGCCTGCGGAACCAATTCATAGCTGCTTAATGTATTCGTGTACAACTATAGAGCAACCTTGATAGTTTAAGTTGGTGGCTAGAGAACGCTTTCATTCCTTTCTCGCTTAGAAATCTTTTAAGATTTGCAGCTAACAAACATAAGAACAAACCAGAACACGAGCATTGCGTTTTCTCTGCTGCTTTTTGGAAATGTTCGTTTTTAAAAAATTCTAATTTATGCTGGAATCGCTTAAGCAAATGGACAAAGTGTGCATCCAAGTAAAATTGTCAGATGCAGCGGCATGGCAACTATTCTCGATTCTACAAATTTTGTGCCCATAGTTTTGTCGTACGACAGTTTTTTTGCCTTCGCTATCTTTTACTGCGGTTGTATCTGATCCTTTTGTGAAACCAGGTAAACTTAAAATTTTGAATTACTAAATAATCACAAATGCTCATACCAAAATGTCAGTGAAACATATTTTATTGTGATAATTTACCGATTTATATCACAAACCTACTTAAGCAAAAATTTTAAAATAAAACATTTCAGAATTTCGGTGAACATTTTATGTATTGACGCATTTTGTTTACAAAATACGATACCTACATCTCGTATATTTTTAAATATCAATACAAAGAGCCTTAAGAGACGTAAATGGTTTATATTGAACCTATATAAAAGGCATTATAAATTATAAAAAGTCTCATGTTTTTTATTTTCGTTTAACAGTATCACAGGTGTTGGCTGCAAAATGAGCCATAACCGTTTCAACTGTTGCTAATGAGCGAAAAGTAAAGAAAGTTAATATTTTCACGTCATATGACCTTCAAATATATATTGTCCTTAAGTTATGAAACTAAGACATTTGTACACAGTTTATAAGATAGAATACGCTTACGAGCACTGTTCATATACCTGCAACATTCTCTTAAAATTCATTCGTACTCAAAAGTTAACGAACATTTTGCCTCATAATATTATAGACTTGTCCCCCGTTTGTCTATAGTTAGCAGGGAACGAAAAGTCATCAAAATGTAAACTATGTTTCACTGTGCATCATATCTTCCTCAGAGTATCATCCCGGAATCTCCATATTTGCAAACCCGTGCTCATTTAGCAAGTTGCTTCCTTTGCACTTTTTCGTTTAATGTCTTCTCAAACGCCAGTTTTCAAGTAACCAGAAAGTTCTGATTTGATATATCTGCATGCGCTTGCGGAGTAGCTAACTGGTAACTTAGAGGAAAATGTTAAGACCCATGCCGCACATACAGCTCCTTGCTTAGCATTTTTGGAAAATAAACAGTATCTAGGACCAAGTTGCTTCTAGTCGCCTGCTGCAAATGTCTTAACTTATTCAGTGCTAGCTTTATGGCTCAAAATATACATAAATTTGGCAAATACCCGCTTACCATACTTGAGTCGTGATATTTTATTTGTTATTTTTGATCACAGTACGCTATGTTTGCTCCCTTATACCCCCTAACATGGGGGCCGCACGGTTGATACATTGGACTAATGCAAGGACTAGGCCAGGTCACGACAGGCGTTAGTGGATTTAGGTACCCATGACAAAAGCCAAAAATGGTGAGGACTATGATGGTACACAAACGCGCTGGTTCCCCTGTGCCAGCCACCGGCACCCTCTTTCGCCTCCGGTTTTCTTTAATTGGTCATGCCATCGGACCCAGGTTAGAGAATAGGAGTGGTACAGGTTGCTTCAACCATCTATCGAGGTAAACTAATTCACACGAACTTCACCGTCCCTGCTATCACCATGCTTTGGAACACACGACGAAAGTAATTTAAATCGACTGTCGACTAATCATCTTCGTCCTTTAATATCGTGATATCTGGGAAGCAAACGTGAGTTCGCTCTTGTGAAGGTTGGAACAAAGACTAGTTATGAATACTGAGCAACAAGCAGATAAACTGCCGCGTACGGAAGTTTCAGGAGAGCGACAGTAAGCAAAAAAAATATTTATTGATATCCTCCGGATTTACTCAGTTATATCAAGCTGTCGTAGACAAAAAACTAAGAAACACATTTCAAGAAAAATAGGTTCGTGTTCTTATGCCTGAATTTAAAGACAAGGTTGTGTCGAGCCTGTGCATTTTCCTTCGCCAGATAATATTCTTCTGTTTTTTTACGGATTAGATAATCCCTATGCTTATATGGTGGATCATTTGAGAAAACTGCAAGCAGCCCAACGGGCAGAGGGTGACAATCCGTTTATTTTTACCTTGGAGAATGCCGAATCGCTCTTCGATATGCTGGATCCCAACGCAAACGGCTTTATCTCCTTTCAGCAGTACCAGCATGGTCTCGAAACCCTGGGTATTACCATGTACGACCCGCTTCCTGTCGGAATTGGTACCAACCAGATAACCAAAAAAATCTTTTTGGAGGAAGCGTAAATTTATTCCGTTTTAATTTCAGCTTAATATACTCACATTCTAGAGAACGAGGATTGGCCTTCCTTTCGAGCACGTACGAGAACCTTATTCGTCCGGCAGCCCGAAGACCAAAGTCTCCGCCTACTGAAGAAAAAGTCAAACCTCCGTCTCATTGTCCTCCTCTAAAGGATCAAAAGTGTTGCAAATAGACTATAACGACAGAATAAACGCTACCTTACCTCACTCTTCTCTATGACTGACAACATAAAAATGTGACCTTCCTCTAGGTCGAAGTTCTTTATCACATATGTTTTAGTTCTGGAGTTGGTGCACTTCCCCAGTTCGCTTAATTTAAGTACTAGCTGAAAGTAGATTCTAAGTTAACTAAGGTTTTTACACGCTGTTCTGACATTGAGAAACTTGCGTCCAGTCCTCTGCATTGCGATCATCTTTAGACGAGAAAAGCGGAATTTGCAAGGACAAATATTTTTGCAGGAAAATAGTCAAGATAACTCGAGGAACATGACTTTTCGAGTTAGTTTATCTGTGCAGCGAAGAAGTTCATCCACATTCCTCATGTCACAAATCAGTTTTCATTTCGCCGTAAAACAACAGCTCGAGGCCCAAATCGGCTGACGCTGTAAGTATGGAATACAGGGAGAAGTAGTAAGTAAAACGTAACTGACACTAAACAAACCCCAGAAACTAAGGAAAAAGTTAGTTATCCATCTCTCATTTACATATTCTCGTCACCACTGAATGTATATCCTGCATTCTGAGAGGAAGTTGCTAGACTCTGTCTGTGAATCACAGGCAACGCAAAACACGAACAATTAGTGTCACTAACTAACAGAATGGTCTATTAAACCGAAATGTATAAAACGTGCAATGTAAAACTTTTTACTTCCGCCTTAATGTTTTCGGAATTGTTTCCCTTTAGCATATTCATTATGGACAGTAAGCCTACAAGTGAGATAGCGAACTGTGTCCCTCACACGTGCGTTTATCCATTAGCGAGGTCATTTTTTCAAGGACGCATAATAAGCAGAAAGAAGTGACGGAAATTAACAAAAATGTTTTAGCAACCTGCATAATTTAATACAAAGCTTTGTTGTCGGTATTTACAATGACAGGCCTGGAAACATTTTGAGGTCTGACCTATCTCCGGTCAATGCGGTTTCATTTTTCGCCGGTATTTGGCGCAAACATAGAAGAGCTAATACTTGCCTAACATTTATTCTTTCGGGTCTCGTCTGCAAAAAAGCCCTTGAGGAATGAGCTCATTTTAAACCAAACTGCGCGAACTTAAAAATGTGTGAATCTTCATCTTTCTGTAAACACCCTCAACTCTACCCCCGTTTTAATGCAAGTGATATATTTTGTTTAGAAATGAGGTGTATGCTTCTCTTAATTATCTTCTCTTTTATATTCATAGTCATCTGTGACCGCTTTAAGTTAAAATAAGCGTTAAAAAGTTCTTTTTGCAGTATAATCATAGGTGGATGTTGTTTACTTACACTGTACGGACAAATTACTCGGGTCTAAATAAGGTTAACTTTAAGCGACCCTCACTTCTTAATAACGCAACTGCCGGTTTGTCCGTTAGAAACAACGGACTCGGGTTGGTAAGACCGCTAGTCATCAGGATCAGTCGTTTATTTGGACAAAATACCGAAGAGCAGAAAAACTTTGTATGCACGCAGTTAGCTAGAAGAGCGGACTTCCTCCAGTTGTCTGTATGAAGTATCCAGTGTACTCTAAGCTTAAGTAAATATTCCATATTACAAATTAACAGGTAGATCACGCTCCTTAGGGCTGCGGCGTTGGATGCTTTGATTGTCCCAGAATATAACTATTTCTCCGAAACCAACACGTTATTCGTCAGGACGTTAGGTGAATGAGCATTTAGATCTTTGAGCTAACCCAGGATAACTTTTGTGACATTTCGGCCATTGCAAACCTGCACCCCACAAAACGGCGAGCCGCGGAAGGTCGATTTGCGCGGGAATTAGTTTGTAGTGATAGTAGACTGGCGACAGATAGGACCTTCACGTGTACCGCAATCTACCGCCGCGGACCAGACGAATTTCCCCCATCGCACAGGTGACGGGAAAATGGTGACACCCGAGTGCCATTTACCTGAAGCCCTGATCAGCGATGGCATGATTAGAGCGGCCAGGAAACACGCCACAGGCAAGTAGCATGTGTCAGTTGGCTGGAAAAGAAGCAAGAAGTCTCCTTCGAGGATTCCGAAATGCCACCTCTGACTCTCATAGTAACGATTGTCTACATTTAGAACACTGTAAGAAGTTGAGCTAACTGATCAGCAACCACCCAGAGTGTAATGCTACTTAGTTATGGTCACAAAAATATCGATCAAATGGGCGCACAATCGGACGTGAGTCCCGAAACAGCGCCTGTGCAAACAAAAGGCTCGTCGAAATTACGCCTTCGGACGGTTAGCAGAATGGTCGGCAGGTTTATGGAGCCAACGTTGGCAATGGTCACTTACCACCTAGCTCTCCTTCGCCGGACATTGAAGACCGAAGAACGAGAGGAGGCATGTTAGATGAATGTTAACATTGATTATGATTATGCACGCAGAGCGTTCCATATGATAATAATGCACTTCCTGCTAAAGCGCATCCCTCGCGACGCAGTCTCAATTCCATCTTCTGCCCCTTCGATTCGGCACTCAAGTAAATTCTAGTCAGTGTGGGTTAAACAATAAGCGCTGATGCGGTGAACGTAAGAGAAAAGCCGCTGCTTCCAAACCCACCTAGCGACTACCTTAACCACTTGGCACACGAAGAGAGAACAAAGTTGACGCTACAAAAGTCCTTCTATCTCATACCCTAATTTAAATCGACTAAAAAACCACTATCGTTCCGATTTTGGTAGGGAGCGCGTTCGAGTCCGAGGGACAAACTATTATTCTATGCAGTAGGGAACCAAAGATAAGGCAGATATATAAGCAAAAAATACTGTGTTTGAGTTACTGCACAAAAATATAATCAGCGGTGATGGTTAGCGGACAGATGTTGTCGAAGGTCAAAATGAGGAGTCAGCCCACTTTCGCTGTACAAGTAGGAAAAGAAAACACAGCGGTGCTTCCAATGTCACGTGCGGAGGGCGTTGAAACAACGTCGAGAGACAGCCGGCCAGTCAGTTTTGAAGACGTTCAATGCCACATTGAGGAGGGTGACCAAATCTGGAGGTAAGAATTCAACGGTTCTGGTAGGCAAAGCGCGCGCTGAAAATCTTATACAACAGGATAGGTTCTCACCACCCTATCGATGGTGAGTTCTGCAA